CAACGAAGCAATTTGCCCAGAAGGACTATTAATTTCTTTTCGGCATTTTGCGTTGATTCACTTTAATCATTGTTTCACTTTTCAAATTGTTACCAACAAATATTATCACACTGTTCAGTATTTAAAGAATTAAATCATGAAGAATCTGAATAAATGTATGTTCGTTTCTCGAATTGTAATTAAACAAGGGTACCTAGAGTCATCGAAACTTGTATAATGTAATCTTCCGTAGAATATGGGCATGTGGAAGCCCTAATTCGAATTTTAAATTTGTTTTATTATCGATTTTATATTTTGTAAAACTTTAAAGATTTTTGATTAATAAATTGACCGATTTCAAAGCGAGCCATAGCAATATTGAACTGAAAAAAATTTTTATCTCGAGCGCGCGGGACTGTGTATTTGAAATTCTAAAAATATCCTCATTTAAAAATTATTTTGCGATATTGCCGTTGAACTGAATTTTAAAGTGCGAAGAACGTGATATTTAATAAATAAAGGTAACAACACAAAACGTTAAAAAAAAGTCCCTTTGAACGTAATTTAAAATCTGAAACCTTTCGTTTTTTTTTTTTTTTTTTTTTTTTTTTTTTTTTTTTCCCTCAAAGGGGCTTTGTTTCTGAAGGACTATTGTTTTCCTTTTGCAATTTAGCGTTGAATCACTATAATGGCGAATCACTTTTCAAACTGTTGCAACCCAATGTTAGAGTCCTGCATTATATTTGAAAAAATTAAGTAATGAAAAATCTGCATAAATATATGTATATTTCCTCACACTGTGATAAAACAACATGAAATCGATCATAACATTGATCGATTTCATATTTTGTAAAACTTTAATGAATTTTTGAGTAACAAATTCAACGATTTAAAAGCGAGCAATGGCAACTCTCTACGGGGGGGGGAGAGAAAAAAACTTTTTTATCTCCAGCGCGCGGAACTGTGTATCGGAAATTCTAAAGATATGCTTATTTTAAAATTATTTTGCGACATTGCTACTGAACTGAATTTTATGGTTTAAGTGCAAAGAACTTAATATTTAGTAAATAAAGGTAACACACAAAACGTTAAAAATCGCCCTTTTGTAATTTAAAATCTGAAAGATTTCAGATTTTTTTTTTAAATTTTTATTTATATTAATGATGTATGAGTATTCCCTGACTATATTAGCCCTCGCCGGGAGTCGAACCTGGACCTCTCGAATACGCGCCGAGTGTGCTAACTGTTACAAAAATATGGTTTATTTTTACTTATATTAATGATGTATGAGTATTTCGAATTCTTCAGGCGATTCACGATAATATTTGCATTGTGACATATTTCTGTTACATTCGTAAATATATTTGCATAATTAGATGGACGGTTCAGATTAAAGTTCTCAGTTATGATACTATTGCATAGAATATACTTTCGAAAGAAATAATTGATATTCGTTGGGAAATTTTGATTCTTTTGACGATAACAAATGTCACAAACATTGCGGATGAGAGCTTTTGATGCTGTCACGGAAAGACAACAGATTCCTTCTAGTGTTTCGCTTTCTATGGGGTCATACGATCCGTTCGAATTCTCGTATAAGTTTCTTGATTTGATGGCTCAGCAATTTAAAGATTTCTGGCTCCTTATCTGATGTGAACTCTTCTTCGTAACGGAAGCGTATTGTTTGTGGATTGGAGTGAAAGTGCAATCGTCAGCGCAGCCAAGTGTGAAAAGTTAGATTTAAGGATAGCACCTTTGTATCAAACAAAACACGCACGTAAAGCCCTTCTTTGCTAGTTACGATGGCAGAGTTTTAGTTTTAGATGCAGGAGGTGTAGTATGTAAATTACTTTGATTTGTGAAATCACATGACTTCTTCTACGGAATATTAAATTACAAGCATTTTTTTTTTCTTTGCTTTTAATTTAAACTCATTGGTTTGTCAATTTTGCAGAGACTGAAAGTCACCTTTTCTGTGATCTAAAATTCAAGTATTCAGCTCTGCCTCAAGTTCAGCCCATTATGCAGCTCCCCTTAGTAGTTTATGTGAGTCATAGATTACTGTGAGTCGCTTTTCTTTAAATTCTCTTCCTGATTCCGCCAAGTTCTTATCATTTTCTCCATTGGAGGTGGCCCGAAATGCCTCTCTGCAGCCCTAGCGATTCTCAACCGGTGGTACGCAAAGAAATGAAGTATTTTTAACTATTAAATTCAAAAATCTCGTGAATTAAAAGAAAATTGATAGAAATTTCCTATCATCGAAATCTAACTGAAAATTTCAAAAACAGCAGACTTGTTAACTTTCGGCTGAACAAAAAAAAAAAAAAAAAAAAAAATTAAGAAAAGCATTTCAAATAAAAGTTTTAAATTTTTATTGCCTTTCTGAAAAATCTATTTGTGTGAACAAGGGTTTTCTTCCATGATGTATTTGAAAAATAAATACAAAACAAAATTAAAAGTGGATCCTAATTTAAGGTTAAAACTAAGTGAAATACCAGACATAAAGAAACTGATCTATCTTTAAACAGGCCCAAATTTTACACTAAATTTTAGATTTAAAGTATTGTAACTTAAATTTTGATAATTAAAATGATGACCTATTTTAATCCAATATTTACTTTTTACAAATAGCCAACAGGTTGTGCAAATAGCAAAATATACTATTTTTTATATTTGAGAAATTGGAAAATAATCATTGTAAAATGTAGTGGTGTTACTAAAGTGTTTCAGTTTTTGTTTAGATGGTACGCCGTAGTTGACAAACGTTGACAAACGCTGGTGTAGAGGATAGAGAACAACAAATTTACGGAATTTTTAAGTGAGCACGGATAATTAATTCGGATATGTGTTGTACTGCAAACAAAACTAGTAACATAAAACAAAGTATTGTTTTAAGTCATTCTGTAACTATCCTGTTACTTTTTAAAAATCTAGTATTATTATGTTTCTTCGCCTTCTTCTCCAGTGGTCGAGTGGAAATGACCAGTAGAACGCTGCCAACATTCACTGTAATTAGCAACGTACACAAGTACCGAAACTATTAAAATTATGCTATTAATGCCGACGCAGTCAGCATTTGGAGGCCTTAATACGTGAGTACGTTTTCCTTGAGAATTGTCTCTATCAAGCCAACTCTCCACTTGGACAGGACTCTGTGTTCTTTAATGATCAAGTAATCCAATCCAATATATTTTGTGTTAGATTTCAGAGTTAAATTCAGTTTCATAGCGATACTAGCGGAAGTATCCGCTGCCAGTTAAGATAGATTAAGAGTAATGTATTATTTTACTAATGACATTATTTGAAAATTCATATAATAGCATATTACACGTCGTAAAGAATAGGATGCGCCATTGTAATGCATCAGAAATTCCAAAGAAACAAAGTAATATTCAAAAAATGAATCACAACTGACAACGTACTCATAGAATCACGTGGTATATATATCCATATGACACATGGAATTGCCATTTGGGTCAGCAAAAATGAAAACGAATACATCATTATCTTAGCAAAATGAATTATTTTGACCAATATGGAAGGCGCATAAAAATTTCGCTAGAAAAATACTAATTATCAGCAACAATACCACGCAGCCATTGTTGCTTATATATCACTGCTGCTATCAGCATTGTTGCCACTCGGAAAAATGAGGGTGAAGTTTAGCATTTTAAGTCTTTTTAATTAATATCTATGATTTTAGAGATTTTTTTTGGGGGGGGTGTAGACGTCGATCTTTTCCGGGACACAGAAAAGAATTGTAGAAAGTTTGATAACTATAGTAGTAATTAAGTTATTAGCGAACAAACCCACAGACTTTTTGCAAGATATAGATTAAAGGCATTATAAAATTAAAGACAACTGTTTAAGATTTTTAAAGGTTGCTCATTAATTCATTTTAGTAAATACTTTTTGTTATTACAATTTGCATTTGCTATTTGAAATAAAAGTTTAGTTGAGAATATATTTTTTTAATCTTTATGTCAATTATAGCTCTAAAACCAGAATTTAATGGGTTCTTTATAGAATACTCAAAGACTATAAATTATTATTATTATGTTAAATCAATTATAATTGATTTAACATGCAATCAATAGTATCTGCATACAACTTGATGAAAACATGTGTCGGAATAGTTTAAAATGCCGTTTGCAAATATAATTACGTTCAATCACTTAATGCTTTTTTAAACACATTTTGTAAATCCAATTTCTTCAATCATGATAAAGTTTCGAAACGAAAACTAAATATATATATATATATATATATATAACAAAAAAAAAATAATGTTTGTCTCAATTTTTGGATCAAGGTCGTTGTGGCCAAAATATTATTAACTTTCAGAAGTCTTTACTTAAGAGGTCAATTTTGCATGTAAATAAAACAGCTGTCAACTTTTGACAAGAACGATAATTTCTCAGTTTAAAATACTCATACGAAATGGACAGCAATGTAAAAAAAACGAATAATGAAAACAATTAAATCGCATTTGCTGTCACTAATACGCAGGTTAACAATCATGCAAAGTGTTGTTTAAATTTACAAAATTTACGATCGAGCAAATAAAAAGAACTTTGTGGAGATTGCGAAGCTGATAGCAGTGTAAAGAAACGTAATCGATGTTCAATCTATTTTACTTCCCACGCTGTTTCGATAGGCCAGTCTTCCGAATCCAATGCTGAGGAGCTTTTCACCCAAAACAATTTGTAAAAAGTCCCTTCGAATAAAAAAAGAAAAAGAGCTTTTGCAAAGAGTTACATTTTTTCCTCCTTGACCCTTTCATCCTAATCTTAAGAGTCCATTTTTCCATTGTATGCTCCGTATTAGCAGACCCGTAAATCTAACAGCGGAACATAATGGGCCAGTATCTCCCCGGATGCTGACCTCCTTTGCACACAGATCAGATGGAAAGACAATTTGTAAAACCCTGGTATTCACTTTCACCATATCGCGTTTGGCCACGCCACACCATTGTTAAACACAGGTATTTCTTTTATTCTTTTTGATTTGTTTTGGTTCTTGTCCACAAGTCCATTCTTTGTTGAAGTGGGGCTCCGGAGAGGTTACATAACTATAAAAGACCGAGCATTTGTCCCGAGAACTACATTGATCTCCAGACTTCCTTTGGACTTAAGTCGCTCAAATACATCTCTGTTCAACATGAACGTGGTAAGTCGGATTCTACTGAAATCAATTTCTATTTCTGCATCCACAGAAGGATACGGTAACCATTTCGAATTTCGTTTGGGTCCGTAATAAAAAGTTACGCTTCAGTGCCAGTTTCTCGACTTCATTTGATGGATACTATCTTTTGGTTTTTACGCGCCCTATCTGTAATTTTTATCGCATGGACAGCCATCAGGCTCCGAAAACCTAACGCTGGAGTTATAGCGGACGTCGTGAAATTACTGCGCAAAAGATGACGTCCACCTAGGGTTACAGTCAGTATAGCGTAAGTCACAAAACAGACAAAGAGTCTGTAGGGATTTATACTTATTTTAAATAACCAATTTTATTTAATTTGTTATCCTTTCCTATAAGCCTTCATTCCCTTAATTGTAAGTGCCAGAATATTTAAATTTGGTAGCGCTCGTGAAGGAATGCCAATTCTACGTTGAAGAAAGAGTTTTAAAAACCAAGTTTCAGTAGGAAAGAGAGAGTTAGGCTATTTGCCGTCATCTCCGCTGCTTAAGCGTCTGCTCACATAGTTATCGCTACTTCGCGTGGCTTAACTGCCTTTAGCAGCTGCCACTAGTTTTCGACGGGGTTTAATACACAGGAATTATTCCGAGCCCTGGTAGTTTAGTTCGACGACTTGTACATATCTTAAATCTTTAGTTAATTCTTTTTGATTTTAGCTACCGCCCCAGCAGATGCGTAGTGCGTAGTTTGTTAGCGTCGAGTTGTAAATTTTAAAGAATTGATCAAGGGTACTTTTAACCCTTCTTCTGTGAAGTTACTACTATTACAGTTCTCACACAGGAATTATCCTATTAGACTCTACAGTGGCGCCCGAACTAAAAGGGTGTATGACGATTCTCCACACCCGGGATTTGGCGATTGGGTCCCCTAAAAACCCCAGTCGCTCTTTGAAAGAAGGGAGTATATAAGGTATTTCTTCCGCCTTCTTAGCATGCCTTCGTAGTGTAGTAATCAGCACGCTGAGCGAGTATTCCAAAGGTCCGTGGTTCGATCTTCTGCGAAGGCGCTGCTCATTTTCCACATCTCCTGCTTCGAAATAACCTAATATCTCTATAAGTTTTTGAAACAAACGATAACTTAAAGAACAGTTTTTCTACGGAAGTTTACCTTTCTTACAATTTTCTGTTGGCTTTAAAAGATCTTTGCAGTCTGTTCCAGTGCTGTTGCTTAGCTCTACATATAATAAAAGAAAGAGTCTGTCTCTGTGTGTGCTTCTTTCGTTCGTGCTGCGCGCATTCTAATAGACACAAGGCTACGAAATTTAGTATATAAGTGCATCTAGACAACAGCCATTGCACCTTGAAGCGATTTTTTTCAGAATTCGAATTAGATTTTCTTAAATTTTATCTTTTCAATGAAATCGCATCAGTTTGAATAGTTTCATTCTTTTAGAAATGTGGTTTAGGCAACAGTTTGTCCTTCAGTGCTTTGTATACTGGACTGCTAACTGTTTAAAATATTATTAATTATACACGCAACACGCTCATCACAATCTTCTTATTCTGACGTGCATGCGTCTCGCGAGTCACAACAGAAAATAATTTCCATTTTTCCACCTCTCTTTCTTTATTAGCTAATGACAAAGATGTTTGTATGTTTTGAATTATGTCAGCCACAGCACAATTTCGATGGGTTATTGCTTTCCGATCACAGTTTCATCCTTTTAGAAATGTGGTTTGGCAACGGTTTTTCATTCATTGCTTTGGATACTGGACTGCTGACGGTTTTCTCTTGAAAATATGAGATTTATTGCTTGTTTCATTGAAATTATTTTATATTATGTTTTAATTACATATAGTTTTAGTTATATAAAAAGTTTTGGACGATTTTTTTAGGAAACAAAGTTCTTAACCTTTTTTATACCATTTGAATTGAGCTTTTGCAACAGGAAGTTTGTTAATTTATTTATTAGGATAATTAATAATTGTATTAAGGGATACTTCTTATTTCACTGTAATGTTTTCTACATATAATACACTTTTATTGAAATTTCCGTTTTTATTTATTTGATAAAGTTGTTCTGCAGGGTCAAATTCTGTACAGTTTTTAAATTTAATGTTTGGTGTTTCCTTTAGGCATTTTTATGGTACATTTAAAAGCCAGACGAAGGCTGGCCTCGTAGCGGCTAGTAATATACTATGACCAGAAATAATATAAAATATCAGGGAATAAGTTTTGTGCTTTTAATGTTCTCTAAAGAAATTCAGTTTCATAACACCTTTAGGCAATGACAAATACGCGACAGTTGCTGTTCGATATTCAAGTTTACTTGTTCCGTCAATATAATTGGCGAGTTTTTAAGAAATACCATGCTATGTAAAATCCTATCACGCTCAATTAACGAGTAATACAAAAAATTGCGTTAGCGCTCATAAATTTCGCTTTTATTAGTTTCAGGAATATTTTTGTTAATAACATCAGTTACCGATTCAATGAATTTTAGATTTAAAACAAACAATTCAAACTAACATTTGACTTGTCACTGTTATGTGCAATTAACCCTTTGCGGCACAGTGTGTCCGGTGTGGACACACCTAAAAATTTCCTTCTGTACGCACAGAAAAATTGAATGAAAAAGGATTTGTAGGTTACTGGGAACCTTCTTTAGTTGTAGTAGATGGCAGCTCAACACAAACGAGTCCATATATTTTAGCCATGTTTACTTTTTTAAGATCCTCATTTTTCAAAGAAATCTTCCAGATTTTTTTAGGGTATAAAAGGAATTGTTTTAAAAGAAATTTCTATGTTATTTTTTCGCTGTATGCTAATCTCCCTATTCTATATTAGTTTTATATTTTTACCTTGAAATCTTGCCTAAAATCAAACGGCGAATCCTAAATGTGCCCATAGCGGGCTCACGGATCATCTAGGACAACTGAGAATCTGTATTCTTTGTTTCTACGCATCTCATCGGTCAGTTCATTGACAACAATGCTCGTTTCAGCACTCTTTTCGAAGCTCTATTCAATCAGTGTGCCCACTTTGGGCACACCCACAGAATTAAAACGATAAGTGCTTTCTTCACAAAATTTTACTTGTATACTCCTCTGGGTCTAATTAGACTGCCTATCTTCTTTATTTTTTAATCAAAACCCCGACTTTAAGAGGTAGCGTACCGGAATGGGTTAAACAACAGCCTCTCTGCTTTCGCAAAACGTCACTTTCTGGATTATTACTGGATATTTTTGTCTTGTGATTTTTAGTATTATTCTACATGCAATAAGTTTCTTCAGTTAACATTAGTAAACTATAGGTAATACTTCAAGATTTTTTCTCTCTGAGAATGATTGGTGGGAAAGGAATTCATCATTACTTAGATTAAGGTCTTGATTTGCAAAGAGAGAGAGAGATAAACAATAGCTCAGTTTTAAAACACAATTTGTTGCATCACCTAATTTCTGGGTTGTCAATCTGATAGCTGAAGACGTTCATAGTTAAAGGTGAAAGGATGTTAAATAGAAGATTCCGGAAGTTTTTCGGCACAAAAGCTGCATCCTTATGAAGATGGATGTTATCGGTACTGTTGGAAGCCCAATTCATTGTCTTCCTTGAAGACAAAGCAAGATTTGACCAGATTGGTCTTAATTACTGTTCTATCAGAAATGTGTACGATAGGTTTGCTTTTAAATCGATAAATATTATATGGAGATTTCACTATGGAGTGTATATCCGCTTTTATCATATGAGTAAATCTCTTATCAAAATATGAATGTATTACGTATAATTCTATGAAAACTTTTCGGCTGTTTTTGAGTAATATGATTATTTAATTTCCAGTTCCTTTGTGCAATAGAAAACAAAAGGATTTATTCAAATCGATTGGATTCTATTGCAGTAGTACATTGGAGTATTACAATAATAATTATTCTTGTCTGATAGATAAATAGGAGGAATTTTTTGCACATTTACTAAATGTTTCACTTTTATTGGCAAAATGTTTGCGGCATATCTTTTATTGCATGTTGTGATAATTTTTCGTATCTAACTTATGGCTGACCGAGTATAACTCTGCTGTTCATATTCCAAATCCTTTATATGTTTTAAAAAAGAATATCAGTGACTTATATTTACTAATAAATAAATGAAGAGTAACAAAAGAGTATTATATATGCTGAAAACAGTTTAATTCATAATGTTTATTAAGTTAGATAAATTAAAGTTATTTCACGGCAGGAAGAATTATATTACTTCTTTGCACCTAGTAATGAAAGTATTGCAATCACGAAAAATTCCGGGTATCATATTTCATCGAAAATTTCCATTTTGATCTCTGTCAAATGCAATTTAACGATTTTTTCCACGACATCTGTACGTTCGGACTCTTTTTCGCCTAACACATTATAAAACTGATTTGAAATGGATTCAGAAGAGATTTTTTCGTGGCGTCTGTACGTACATATGTACCTCGCATAACTCAAAAACGAGTAGACTGGCGTCAGACCATTGACATTTTCTATATAGAACTCCTACAAGATGTAGTTGTGTACCTCCTGTTTTGGTTGCAATCGGCAGGACCAAAAGTATATATATATATATATACATATATACACCTCTGTTAGTCGGCTCCGAGAGCTCAGTTTTTTTATTCTTATATGTTGGTAAATTGCGCATTTTTTGCTTTCAAAATGATTGAGTTATGTTGTTTATATCTTACGGTTACGATTTTTATGCCTTTAGTTAACCTGCATGAAAGAGTTGAAGAATTATCAACAATTTAAAAGTTGTTTAAATGCGGCTAAGCCTAATGATTTTACTGTAGCAGCCATATTTATTTACATTTGATACTCGGCCGAAGAGTAAGTAAAATCTTTCTGCACCTTCACTGTCTTTTTGCCGAGTGAGATTAAAAGCAAACTTGCAATTCTGTGCACCAAAAAGTCTGCCTTTTTACCCTCTGGCCGAATTGCTTGCGTAGAAACTGTAATTTTCCTGGTAAAATTAATTTTTTTAATTGTTTTAACTGTACCTGGTATTTTATGTTTTTATGTGTATTCCAGTTTTTAATGAAGGTATTTTGAGTTTTTATGTATTTTTGCATTGCCGCGAAGCTAGAGTAAAATTTAGTTAGTTTAAAAATAAGTTTAAATGAAATGTAAGAAAAAATGCGTATAAGTTATTATTCCGTACAAGGAAGTCATGTGGTGTACACATCAGCTTTTATTATTTATTAACATTTTACTGTTTTAAGCTAGATATAGCTAGCTATATCTAGCTTAAAATATATATATAGATAGATAGATAGAGTATAAATCTGATATATATAGATATATGTAGATAAAATATAAATCTGTTCAAAATATGCATTATAGTGTATCTTAAGCAGTAAGCTGTTATTACTCTGATGTCTAACTACCATCATTTGCTATCTCATTAAATCATTAGAGTACTTAGAGTACAACATTTTCAAATGACAATAAAAGCTACTTATTCTAATATCTCTTTGCTTCTAAGACTATAGATGGACGTTTTTAGTTTTTATTAGTTTGGCCCATAAGTTCTGGCTATTTTTAGATTTCCATTAAAATAAACAACAAATGAACAATAAATCAATGAAGAATGTATTCTCCGTTGGTCTTTACAGATTCTTCCCAACGCTCTGGATGGTAAAAATCAGTCTTTTAATAGCGTAAGCTAACGTTAGCCGTTCTAAGAGGCATGGCTTCTTCATTATACACTTCACAAATCTCTCGAACAGTTTCTAATGCTTTGGGCACCTCGAATAAACGCAGTCGAAAGTTCTGTTTGTTTGTCGCCTTGACACTTCATTTTAATGACAAGAAAAGAACAAAAGGTGTATCAGTATAAAAAAGTTGAATACACTATTTTGCAGAGTACATAATTCTCTATCAAATAACATAAAATGCGTTGCCAAAACGTTCTATGTTTCACACAAAATTTTCACTTAAATAAATTAACGCCAGAACTAACCCAATAGTAGTATTAAGCGTAATTATAACGCAGTTTTAATGATTATTTGCTACATATCTCTGGTATCGGATAAAATGTGTTACTTTGTGTTATAAAATTTCGAAATTCTTCTATACATCTTTGATATAATAACAGAGTTCGAAATCTTAGCCCTTTTTTACGACTGAAAAGAAGCCTTTATTTCCAATCAACTTCAAAGAATGCGGAAACGTTTTGATTCTGATACATAAGCTTACTTTTTAGAAGCAATCCATAAAAAATACATTGTAATTGATTATGTAATATACACTGCGTAGAAAAAAAAGAGACAGTTTTTATATCTCCCCTTGTACTGGGCTGATTGACGAAATTCAACTTGCGTTTTCCATGTCTCCAAAGCGCGACTTAAAATATGCATTAGATTTATATATAGCATTGCTCTAATACAGGTATTTTGATCCAAAAATCGGACTTTTTCTGAAATGACATGCTAATGTTTTTTCCCCAGTTTCAATTCTACGACTCAAATGAGGCCAAACTGCCAAGTTTTGTAAAACTCGCCCGAGTAGTTTTTAAAAAAAATTAGCTCTCAAAATTTAGCTCCTCAATGCTAATTGAATCTGGTTTATTAATCTCTCTTTTCTTATTAAATTTATTTCATTCTTCCTTTCACATTTCGAAATTTAGGTTCATTCCAAATAAAATTCGCCCATTTTTTACGATTTATTTTTTAAATTTGAATTTTTAAAAAATGTTTATTAATTTTTCGAAATATATTTTGAATCATAAACTATGAAATTTTTACCATCCTCTTAAAGGAGATTTATTTCTAAGCATACCTGCAAAAAATTAGAATTTTTTTATTCAAAATTTCCGAAGATATACGTTAATTAATATACTGGCGCGTTTTGAGATTTGACATATTTTTTGAAAGCGATAATAACATCCAATATGGTTTAGGCACTTTGTTAAAATTATTTGAAACGAGGAATTAAGTGACTTTTTTTTTCTCTCGCGCACAAAGGTGGTGTGTTTAATTACGGCAAAGCTCACTAGGGCTATCTGCCTAAGGGGAGGGATGCCTTCGTGGAGGACTTTCTAAGGGAAACTGGCTCGTATATACGTTACACATAGGGAAAACCACGAAAGCACCCATGCAGACAGCGTGTTCGCGGGCTTCAAACCTCAGACCGAACTACCAGTGTTCAGAGATTTTACCGCTCGGCCGCTGGTGGGCGCTCGTGCACAATGAAAAAGGGAAAGAAAAATAGGTTGCCATATATTAAGAAGTTCGTCGAAAGAACTATTCTTGACGCAAACTGAAAACAAATGCGCCAAGTTACATTTTTGAATTTCTACGTAAATTTCACACCAAATTTTACAGAATTTAATATTTTGGCATAATTTGAGTCGTAGCATCGAAATATGGAAAAAAACTTGGCTTGCCATTTCAGAAAAAGTCTGATTTTGTGTCAAAATACCTATATTAGAGCAATGCTATATATAAATCTAATATATATCCTAAGTCGCGCTTTCGAGACATGAAAAACGCTATTTAACTTTTGCCGATTGCCAGTAGAACGGGAGATATAGAACTGTCCCTTTTTGGGGGGTAGTGCACTTACTATATCTGAGTGCTATGATTGATGCTCTATATGATTTTTTTCCCAATTTCTTTTATAGCTTGTTCTGGCAACTTTACTACTCTCAGCTGCAGTAGCACACGCAAGTCTTGCCTATCCTACCTACGGACATTTGGGTGCTTCATCTGCACATGGCTATGGGTCTCATGGTCACCATCTCTCTGGTTACGGCTCTCATGGCAACAGCTTGCTGAGCAGTCACGGTCATCATGGAGATTCAGGCTATGGCGCTCACGGTAGCCATGCTATTGGCTCTCATGGAGCTCACTCTGCAGTAGGAGCCCATGGCGCAGATTATGGTAAATACAGGGATGTTGGAGTTTACAGCCACGACAAAGGAGATGGATATGAGAAATCTTACTATTATGACAAAGTAAGTATTACCATGTATGGCGTCACTTTAACTTTGTTATGGGTTGTAGAAACTGACGAAAAGGGATTTTTCATCAGATTTATAGCAAAATAATATGCTTAATTTGAAGCCATATTTACTTTCACCTTCGTGTTTTATTGAAGGTAAAGACAACCGCCCTTGAAACACCGTTCTAATTTATGGACTTTCTTAAATAATAAAGATAATTTTTTATGTAGCTCTGTATGTGTTTACAAGATAACATCCCTTAAAGTATGAGATTTAATTTCTTTCTTGTGACTTCCATTACGGTTTTCGTTCTCCATAAAGATTTTGAGTTTATTGTTTAATTTAATAACTTAAGTACATGCTGTTGCTTGTATTTTGTTTCCGTTCTGTGCGAATATTAGGCCAAAGATTTCGCATACAAATCCATTTAAGCCGATGGGAAAATTTCAGATGTATACGAGGTGTGATACAAAAATAAGAGACTATGTAGCTTGAAAAAAGAGTGGAGTTGGCAACAACTGTTTTGGTGACGTTATCCAACGCATCTCCTTTATCCATGCGGCCAGTTTGGACTTAACCGTTCACACCAGTTGGGAGTACTGCCTTATTAAGTGAACATGTGCAACTGCATTCTACTGGAAAAAAAATGTCTAATGCAGGGGTTTTCAACCGGTGGTACGCAAAGAAGCAAAGTATTTTTAACGATAAAATTCAAAATTTAAAAGCCCAACATCCTGATTGAGTTTTTTCTCTAACACTCGTAAATTTATGCGATCTGAGCTTTGTACAAGAGTAGTGGTGGTGGTGATAATAGTACTTTATAGTAGTGGTACAAAAGGTTTTCAATTTTTGTTTAGATGGTACGCGTTAGTCAAAAGGTTGAGAACCCCTGATGTAATGTAAAAATAGAACAGCGAATCAACATCAAGTTTGTTGTGAAACTTAAGAAATCAGCCACGGAAACATTTCAAATATTAACTGAGGCTTATGGAGATGAAACTTTGTCTCGTGTGTTTGAATGGCATAAGCGGTTTTGAAGGGAAAGAGATAAATCACGCATGTCAAAATCAAACTTCATGGCAATGTTAACGGTCTTCTTCGATATTAATGAAATTGTATTGATTGAATGGGTTCCCAGTGGTCAGACTGTTAATCACCACTACTTCATTGAAGTACTAAGAAGACTTGGTGAAAAAATTAGGGAAAAAAAGGCCACAGTTGTGGACTTATGGATGGCTGTTGCACCAAGACGATACACCCGCTCACACGGCCCTATCTGTCAAGCAGTTTCGGACCAGAAAAACCATTACTGTGTTTGGGCATACTCCTTATTCACTTAATTTGGCTCCATGCGACTTGTTGTTATTTCTTAAAGTTAAACTATTTTAATAAAATTAATTTACATTGCTTTTTGCTGTAAATTTGGCAATATGAGTTGTCTAGTCAAATCAAACACTTATTTTCTCTTTATCATACTATATTGTTAAAATAATATTTTGTTAATCTAAACTCTTAAAATGATTTTTAAGTGAAAGCATTTTTTGAGTATTTTTAAATATTTATCAAGTATGCAGTAGTATATCACTTATTCAAATTTAATCTTGAATTATGCAGTAGCATTTTATAAAATAATTATTCTCAAGAATATTTAATACACTACAACTCCAATTATCCGAACTCTGAATATCCGAATCTCTGATTATCGGAATCGCTTTCAGAATTTAAGAAAAAAATTAAGATAGAAACATAGTGTTGGACAATCAATGATAAAAAAGGAGCAAACCTACACTTTTAAACTTCCTGTCACTGCTTGAAAACGAACATGGTATTTCTTCAAAAAAATCAATGAAGGCAGCAACAAAAAAAAAATTTAGATGATGTCCTTTTCAAGTGTTATTTGCAGCAATAACGGTTTGTTTTCTACGGGAAACCCAACTTCGGGTCCGATTCTTTGTGAAAAAGCTAAGGTATTAGCTCAGAAGCTTGGCTGGTCATCCTTTAAAGCAAGTAACGGCTGGCTAAGAAATTTTAAGTGCAGGCACGGTTCCGTCAAACAGATTACTTTGACCGAGATGTTCAGCAAGCAGTGACGTTTAGTACTTTAAGTACTGTACAGTACGCTATATAACTTGTACGTTAAAGTTTTGTCTTTTCATTTTAATTAAAATCCTATTTTTCTTTATAAATAGGTTTTTTTCTCAAATTTTCAACAAACAGTAATTAATTAAAGTGTACGTAGACCCTTTCTTCGGAAAAAAATCGGGTTATCCGAATGGAGGTCGAGTCCCAATTGATTCGGGGTTATTGGATAAAATAATTTTAAATATAAACCTACATTTAGAATTTCCGATACACAGTCTCGTGCACTGGAGATAAAAATGTTTTTTTCTGTTCAACGTTGCCATTGTTCGCTTTGAAAGTTTGTTTATTAAAAATTCGTTAAAATTTTACAAAATATGAAATCGATTATAAAACAAATTCCAATTTCAAATTTGGGATTTCAGATGCCCATATTTGCAGGAGGATTACGTTATTCAAAATTGGATGCCTCTAGGTACCGTCGTTTTATTACAATGCGAGAAACATACATGCATTCATGCTGATTCTCAATTACTTAATTTCTTTAAATATAATACAGGGCGATAATGCTCGGTGGCAACAATTTGGAAAGGGAAACAGCTCTTAAATCATGAATCAACGCAAAATGCCAAGACAAAATTAACACGCTGAAAGCGGCGCCGAATTTGCTGTTCTTTCCGTTCAGCCGGTTATCTTGGTAATAAAATCGGCTTAATTCAAATTCATAACAAAATGTTACCAAAATATTGTTCGTATTTTAATATGTGTAAATCTAAGCCATATCTTTGTTTAGAATGTTTCAATAAATTTCATTAAAACTACATTTGATCACATTTCATTGAGACTATATATATTTTTTAACTCTAACACTGTCGGCCCCGCGGACCGACGCCAGCCAAACGAAAATTCCATTGCCTGTCCCCACGGACCGACGCCGGCAAGACGGAAAGTTTACTGACGGTTCCCATGAATCAACGCTGGCCACATGGAAAGTTCACTGACGGCGCTGGCCTAAACGTGTTAATAGCCCTTCTGTGCAAATTGTCTCTTTGGGCTAAAAGAAAGACTATATTTAAATTTCATTTGAAAGATGCATTATTTATATTTTATCTTAACGTTTTATTTCACGTTTAGGTCAGAGGTCATCATGACATCATAGCTGATCATGGCTCCAAGCATGCTTCTTATAGCGATCATGGAGTGAAGTCCTATCACGACAGTGGTGCCCATGGTGCCAGTGGCCACAGCAATTACGGCGCTCACAGTAAACTTGGAGGACATGGCTACGGATCTCACGGCTATGCCAAATCTGGATATGGGAATAGTGGCCACGGAAGCAGTGGCTACAATACAGTTGGTCACGGAATCGGAGGCCTTGGTGGAGCTTATGGAGTTGGACATGGGCTCGGAGGGGGTTACGCTGCAGGTCATGGACTTGGTGGTGGCCACGTCGCTGGATATGGACTTGGAGGCGGATATGGTGCAGGGCTTGCACATGGAGGATATCCATCAGTCCATGGACTTGGCTACGGTAGTGGTCTTGGTGCTGGAGGATACGCAACAAAATACGGATCATCTCATGGGTATTCTAAAGTCTACTTTAAAGGACCTGGTTACGGATACCACTACTAGAAAGGGGCACCAAAGAGGAAGATGCTGACTTATAGTAAGTATTTCAAATACGTACAGTATTATTAAAAACTAGTAATAGTGTTGGATATTTTCTTTTCATATAATTAAAATAAGCTCATTGTTAAACATATTTGCCATAAAACATTACATGCGTTTAAAATATAACAACGAAACCCTCCATTCTAATTTATTATCATGGATGAATTAGACCCTAATCATTATATTACCTATACACAGTAATATACAGGGTGATTCTAAATTATTTTTACAAATTAAGAGGGGAGATAGTACCCATCCAGACGAGCAATGATTACCATAGGACATAGGGCCGCATTCCACTTTGAGAGGCAGAAATGAGGAAAGTAGAAACTCATCGAGGACGACCAAGGAGAATATCTCCTAAAGATTATCAAGAATTAACTGTATGTAAGTTTCCAGTGTGAAGAAGAAGCATTTTGCTCTTAATTGGTACTGGAGAAAGCCAATCAGAGCAAAAGGTGTCCTTGAAAACGACACATCATCATCGTTTCAAGTATTACCTTAGTAGCATCTTCCGAAACTTTTCGTGAATGCTATGGCTGAATACACGTACGAGGATTTGGCAGATATTCACCTCACATACGGCGAAAAAAAGGGAATGAACGCAGAGCACGAAAGATTGTACGAACAGTGGTTTCCACTCGTCGGGATTCCAAGTCATCCAACCTTTTCCAATGTTGATCGAAGAATGCCAGAAACCAGTTCTTTTGCCATCTCAAAATGCAAAGCATGACGTTCGCGAAATGTACGAAAGCCAGAAATGGAAGAGCGAGTTGTCTGCATTTTGAGCACTTTCTGGGAATTTTTCACAATAAATTGTGCAACTTTTTTGTCTCGTTCATTCGCTTTCCAAACACTATTGTAAGTTCAGGTTGGAATTCTAATATTCCGCTTTTCTGCCTCTCAGAGTGGAATGCAGTCCTATATTCTATGGTAATTTTTGCTCGTCTGGATGGGTACTATAACCCCTTTTAATTTGTAAGAACAATTCAGAATAATCCGATATATACACAGTAATTGTAATATTGCGTACGTATATTAGACTAAAGAAATAGAAATCAAAATTGCTTAAGAACAAACAAGAAATAGCCTTACTATTTTAAATCAAAATACGTAGCATATATCAAAATATTTGCAAACATAATTTTTCAAAGTATTGACCAGCACGGTCGAATCCGTTTTGCTTAGCATCTGCATAAACAAAATGAACAATGTATGAAAAGAGAATTAATCAACAACAGGACTCTAAAAACCTAAAAGGTTTCAGATTTAAATTACTTCCAAATGGACTTTTTTTAACATTTTGTGTGTTACCTTTATTTATTAAATATCATGTTCCTTGCATTTAAGCGTATCTTTAGAATTTCCGATACACAGTCTCCTTCGCTGGAGATAAAAATGTTTTTTTATTATTATTATTATTTTTCCGTACAGTGTTGCCATGGCTCGCTTTGAAATCGTTAAGCTTTTTAATCAAAAATTCGTTTAAGTGTTACAAAATATGAAATCGGTACTAAAATAAATTTCAAATTCAAGTTAGGGCTTTCACATGCTATGGAAGATTACGTTATTCAAATTGGATGGCTCTAGGTACCGTTGTTTTATCACAATGGGAGAAACATACATACATTTATGCAGATTTCTCATTATTTAATTTTTTTAAATATAAGACAGGGCGGTAATATATGGTGGCAACGATCTGAAAAGTGATACAGCGTCTTATTCTACGCAAAATGCCAAAACGAAATTAATGGTCCTTCAGGGCAAATTGCCTCTTTGGACTAATGATTTGTCATTGTACCTTTCTGTTAAAGATTTTGCAGCTAAAAATATATAAGAAAGTTAAAGCAAATATTAAAATTTAAGCATCATAAAGAGTGCACAAGATCAAAACACAAACTTGCATGTTTTGTGGTTTCTAAAAAATGTGAAAAGAAAACTCTTTCTTATCATGTTATTTCTTTAGACAGGTTCAAAAGCGCACAACAGCAGATGGGAGCACTGTGAACCGATCTTGGGCGCTTATAACAAATCGTCGACGGCAGCTACACCATGGTGGATGAAAGAACAAATAAAGTATAATGCTGTAAAATGTGCAATTTTCTTATACGAGGAAATAAATTTGTATTTATGTAAATTATTTTTAAGGGTATACGGATTCTTCATTTACTTTCATTTTATACTGTTTCACATTTATTATATACTAGCGGAAGTACCCGATGCCAGTTAAGTTAAATTGAGAATAATCTAACAACAGAGAGAACGAGACCGCTGTAATCCTTCTCGAATAACAATGCAAAAAATACGATTCATGCTCAGACATTTTTCACTCTGATGCAATATGGAAAAACCACATAAAAAATTTCCATAGAAAAATAAACTACTTTTCTCTGATTATATCAGCAACAATGGCACACAGTTTTGAATGATTTTTTTCTTTCTAATCAAATGGTCGTAAAACTCATGTTCCATCCAATATTTCACCTATATTAAAGTTTAGTCGATTAGTTGTCTCAAAATATTGATCATAATTGATCAGAAATCAATAACGCAAACAAACACACATTCTTCTTTTTATATATATATATATATATATAATAATAAAACTTACAAATTTTTATTAACAGACTACGATTTGAAAGCGAGCAGTATCAACACTTTTCAATATAAAGCATTTTTATCTCCAATGCGGGAAACTGTTGCCACTCAGAGAAATGAGTGCGAAAATTAGTGTTTTCAGTTTTTAATTAATATATCGGCTGATTAAGGTCGTACGAAGATGGGAACAGTCGAAATGGCTTCCCACGAAATTTTGGAATCGGGAATAATGCATTTAATGTTTGGCAATGCTATTTTTATTTCATCGTAAAAGTTGGAAATTTTTTTAATAACAGATACTACGATTTGAAAGTGAGCAATGGCAACATTTCTCGAAATAAAGCAGATTTTTATCTCTAGCTTGCGAGATTGTTGCCACTGAGAAAAATGTAGGCGAAAATTAGGTTTTCCAGAATTTTTAATTAATATGTCCGATTTTAGCTATTTTTGGGGGGGAAGTGGACCCCCCACCTTTTCCAAGACCCCAAAAAGAATGGTAGAAAGTTTAGTGACGATAGCTATAGTAGTGACTGAGTTAATAGCGAACAAACAAAGAAGCAGACATTCTTCTTTATATATTTATATGGATATTAACAAGAGGGCGAGGCAAAAAGTGATTTAAAACAACATATTTAAGAACAAAAGACATTTAAACAGCGTATTCTGAAAAGGGCTCCGAGTATCTATATCGCCATCAATTGTTTTGAACGTGATCATTGAGAAAACCATGTTGTTGGTCAATATTTTGAATACGGCAGCAATAGTCAAGGAAACCGCATAAAGCTTAACTGAGAACTTAAATGTGGGGATCATACATTAATATCCTGGCCTTCTGATAAAGAGTATTGGACTCTTTAAATTATGAGATAGCATGCAAGGCTATCTGCTTAAGAAAAGATACCTTTCTGGAGGACGTTTCTTAAAGGAAAACTATCTCGTAGTCCTGTTACACAAAAGGAAAACCACGAAAACTTCAATGCATTTACTGGAATTTGAATAAAGTTTGGTTATTAGATTACGGCAACACCTCGAGGGATGTTTACCTAAGGGGAGGGATGTCTTCTTGAAGGACTATGTAAAGGAAACCAGCTCATATACGCATTGTACAGGGAGAAAAACACGAAAACTTCCATGCACCAGCCCGTTCACGGGATTCGAACCTCGGACTGAACTAGCAGTATTCAGCGACTTTACCGCTCGACCGCTGGTGGGCATGGGATTTGAAGAAGAGTCGAACTATTAGTACTCGATAATGTAGCACTCTCGACAGCATGCAAGGAGACGAAACGACTGCTTAAAAGTTACGTAACACAAAAATCAACGCATTCATGCTCCATCTGGTAGCATTTGAATGCTTTTTGAGGCTTTCCAGAAAATGAAAAGTGTTTATGTCACCGTGAAAGACCGATATTGGAGAATGTCGACTTTCACCGAAGAATGTCAACATTCACCAAATACGTCGGTGAAAGATCGAATATTGCATTACATTCTTGTCTCCTTACCGGAGTATGTCGACAATCACAGATATGCTCTGGTGTAGGTCGAAAAGAGAGGAGTGTATGTACACGCCGTCATTGCAAAAGAAAGTATTCCACAAATAAATGCAGTTGTAAAAGCAAGGGCCTCTTGTGCAATTCAAAGTGTCGTAATAGTTTAAGTTGTTGCAATAAATAAGATATTAATAACACACTTTAATAAGTTTTTAACTTCTATTATTCTCCTTTCTCATTTTGAATGTACTGTGTGTTTTAAGTTCTTATATTCTTAAGGTCTTTTAAGTTATTTTAAGTCTCAAATGCGTTTTTTCGCGATAATTACGGAGAAAAAAATATAATATTCTTATATGTTTAAAATTCTCCATTAGTACACGGTGAATGTCGACATTTGCCGGTATAAGTCAGAAATAAGAGTATTTGAAAAATATTTCGGACATACACCAAGCGACTATGTGAATGTTGACATTCACCGGTGAAAGTCGACATTCTCCAGATTTCGGTGTTTCACCGTAACATTTACACTTTTCTAGAAAAGTCGTCATGTCGTTTAAGCACTGTTAAAATTGCTGAACCTTTAGGTTGGTGTGTAATTTTCTAAACGATTAAATCAGACTTCGTTAATAAATCCTTAGTTAATAATAGTACTCCTAATTCATCTTCAAGAGATGATTTCACTCGTTGTCTTTGCTACACTGATGAAGACAGCTGAATATTAGTAGTTCAATCCAGATTTGAACCCAAACGAACGGGCTGAATGCATAGATAATTTTCGTGGTTTTTCCCTTATGTAATGCGAATACGAAGCAATTTTCATTAAAAGTACTTCACGAAATGTCTCTGCATGTAATCAAATCCAACACTATCTAATCCATCAATATCAGAAACTTAATCCTTATGTCTTCCTGAGATGGTAGCATAGTTGCAGTAGAAGGATTGTCTGCATTGTTCGAATTTTATCAAGCCTCCAGTTATATCACGGGAGCTGCTTTCGTATCGAAAAATCTTTTAGAGAATCATAATTTCCTGGAACTTTCTCCTTTTATGGACTGAAAGGATCCATAGCTGTGCGATATTGCTTTTTAGCTTCACTTCAAAGCCAGCTTACATTAGAATAAAAAGCGCTTTAGCTCTTTAAAAAAGAAAAGTAAAGAAAGAAAGAAAAGGGAGAAAAATATTTAAAAAAAAAATCTGAAAGCTTTCAGATTTAACATTACGCCCAAAGGCTGTATTTTTAACATTTCTTGTGTTACCTTTATTTATTAAATATCATGTTCTTCTCGATTAAACCATCAAATTCAATTCAACGGCAATATCGCAAAATGTTTAAAAGAGAATATCTTTAGAATTTCCGTTACACACTATCGCGCGCTGGAGATAAAAATGTTTTTTCTGTACATTGCTCACTTTTAAATAGTTGAGTTAGTTAATCAAACATTCGTTAAAGATTTATAAAATATGATATCGATAATAAAACAAATTCCAAATTTGGGCTTCCAGATGCTTATGTTCGGGTGAAAACGTACGTTATTCAAAACTGGATGGCTCTAGGTACCGTTGTTTTATGACAATGTGAGAAACATGCATATATTTATGCAGATTTTTCATTATTTAATTTCTTTAAATATAATACAGAGCTCTAATACTGGGTGGCAACAATTTGAAAAGTGAACCGACACAAAATGCCAAAACGAAATTAATAGTCCTTCTGGGCAAATTGCCCCTTTGGACTAAAAGGAGAAAAATATTTTAAAAAATCTGAAAGCTTTCAGATTTTATATTACGCCCAAAGGGGCGTTTTTTAAATGTTTTGTGTGTTACCTTTATTTACTAAATATCATGTTTTTCACATAAAAATTCAATCCAATAGCAATATCGCAAAATATTTAAAAGAGCATATCTTTAGAATTTCCGATACACAGTCTCGCGCGCTGGAGCTAATTTCTTTTTTTCGTGCAGTGTTGCTTTCGCTCGCTTCGAAATCGTTGAGTTTGTTAATCAAAAATTGTTTAATGTTTGACAGATTACAAAATACAAAATACATAATAAAATAAATTCTAAAATCGGGCTTTCAGATGTCCATATTCGGTGGAAGATTATGGTATTCAAAATTGGACGGCTGTAGGTATCGCTGTTTTATTACATTGCGAGAAAAATTTCTTTAAACCTAACCCCGGGGCTAAACCTAACATATTGGGTGGCGACAATATAAAAAGTGATTCGCCGTTTATAGTGAATTAACGCAAAATGGCGAAACGAAATTAATAGCCCTTCTTGGCTAACGATCTTTGGGCTAAAAATGTTCTCCAAACTGTAAAAGAAAGATCGCCAGGGGCGTTTTGTTTCCTTCGCTCAAGCGATTGAAGATAGAGAGATGGTTAGTGGGAAAGGTTTTGCTATTCTCTGCTGTCTGTTTGCACATTATCACACTTTTTCCTTTAAATTTAAATGGCAATCAAACTTCGTTGTCGATTATTTTCAATGTGATAGCAATACATCGGATGCGCGAAAGAAAATTAATTCGGAGAAAATGTAATTCTTTTTTCTTAACATACTTTAATAACTCGGTCAAAAATCTAACGCTTTCTTAAACATTACAATGAAACAAGCGGTATCCCTTAATACAAACATTAATTATCCTAATAAATAAATTAACCAACTTCCCGTTGCAAAATCTTGAGAATTAAAATGGTATAAGGGACGCTAAAAACTTTGTTTCCTAAAAAACAAGCAAAACGTTTCAATATCTTAAAAAATTTTAAATAAGCAATAAATTACATGAAAGTAAAACAAACATTTCTGAAAAGAAAAGAATAATTCATAATATTTTATATCATATTTTGAACAGCCAGCAGTCCAGTATATAAAGCATTGAATGAAAAACTGTTGCCAAAACAACATTTCTAAAGAATAAAAATATTAAAAATGATGCGATTTCATCCAAAAATACAAAATTAAAAAAAAATCTGATTCGAATTGGCTCTTGTCTAGATGCACCTATGCACCAAATTTCGTAGCCCTGGGTCTATTAGCTTACGCGCAGCACGAA